AGCTGGAAGTCGGTTGGCGAGCTCCGATCAGGCCACAACAAATGAAGCTGTAAAATGGACGACTGAGATTTTTTTTGAAATTGTTACTGTTAAATTTGTGTTTTAACAAATAGGCTTAAAAGTGTCTGGTTTACATCTTTTATATCAGTCAGGATCATTTACTGCACAGCTGCTACTTTCACTTTGATACTGTGGGTACATTTTTTTGATACTGTCACTGAAATAGGATTCTCAGTCCAGGACTTTTATTTGTATTGGAGTAGTTTTATATTACAATCCGAATACTTCTCCTGCACTGATTACAATGTAGCAATGCTTTTTGCTACAGCAGCATGTGACATTAGTGCAGCACATTATTCGTGGTCTCTAGTTAGAAGAGTTTCTAAAGGACAGTAACACACCTGCTTCTTGTTTTCCCCCCTTCATAATGTCAGTCTCAAAAAACAAACAAGACCTGTATATCATGCTAACGTTTGTGCTTTATGTGCAACAGCCTCGCAAGAATGTAAATAACCTGCAGTGGAAGGTGAGTATTATAATCTTTACCGCCCCCTAATGACAACATGGAGACACTGACTTGAAGAGAGATTAAACTGTGTTTTTCACCAGGATGCTTTTATTGTGTGTAAACAGCAAAGAACAAAACTTTATTTTTTATTAGATTTGATCCAAAATAATTCATTCTATGCATTAAAGCAATTTTCAAAATTATAATTTTATAGTAGTACAGTGTAGTAATAATATAGTTTTATAAGATGATTTTTATGAATAAAACCAGCAGGCCCGGCCCTAACCAACTTGGCGCCCTAGGCAAGATTTCAGGTGGCGCCCCGTTGCATCGCAGTAAATTCCACTGCTAGTGTATATACTCATAAGAAACGTAATAGCTTTGTCTTGGACATTCTTTTATTTAAATAAAGCAATTGCACATTCAAAATACTTAGAAAGAATTAAAGAAACAAATACAAAAAAATGAACTGAACATATGAAATACAATATAAATAGCTTACATAAAGTACCTATTAATACTCCCAAAATAAAAAGTGTAAACAAGTGACATTAACTTAAAAATACAATATAAATACGGCACTGTGCAAAATAAGATATTAAAGAAACGAGTAGGCACAAAAAAATACAAGGATTTAAATAAAAATAAAAAGATGATCTTACAAAGACCTCTAGTGGTGTTTTTGGTACTGCCGTAACTTAAAAACTACACCATCACCTCCTCAATCTCACATAACCTGCTACAGCTTTACTCTCCTGGTTTTTCTTGCAGCAAAGTCATCTACAACATCATCATATGACAACTGATTTGAGACCACATGGTTTATGCTTATAATGGCAAGTCCACTGAGACGTTCTTGCATCATAGTAGATCTCAG